CGCAGTCACCCATTGCAGTGAAGCAAATTTGCACTAGTGGGCATTAGGGAGGCATTCGTATGAGAGGTAGCATGACGACTTGCTGATGTCTCCATCTACACGCTGAGAATAGACACAACGATTCTCCTTCTTAGGGTCCGGCGCGACGGCATATATTACCCCGCATTCATCATACGGGAATGGGAGACCAGGTATCTTCCTTCCGAGTTCCGGTGGGACGTGAAATTGGAGCGTAGAATAGTGGAGCTTTTGGTCGTAAGCAATCTTCAGCTCGTCGAGGGGTAGTTGATTGGAGCTGTATCTATCAGCAAATCCGTATCCCTCGCGACGGAGCCACTTTAGACCTGCCTGTGCAGGTCCTGTACAATCTGTAGTCTTGTTAGTATGCAGAATTGGAAACATGCATACAGTGATATCGTACCTATAACGAGAATAGCAGGGATGTCCTTTGTGCCTTGAGGTGTACGGATCGTGACCTTGTCGATGTACTCGGGGCTATTAGTGCTTCGTGAGACACCTGTGACTGTCCCGATGACTTGACGAATATTCTCGTAGTCCCCACCGAGGACCAGACGACGCAGGAATGTTTCCGTACCGGCACGACCGGCGTAGATTGTCTTGGGAAGGGTGCCGCCGTATTCCGCGAATGGTAAACGGGTAGCGTCTCCCCACACGTGGAATTGAGTGTAACTGGGACCTAACCTGCGAGCACTGATCGTAAATAAGGAGAAGAGAGATCGAGGTTGAGGCTTACCTTATGCCAGATGCTTCGCTTTGTTCTTCGATCTTGGGGAAGAGCTTAGATAACGCTTTGTATCCCAGGGGTAGGATAACTACATCACTGATGTTAATTTTTAGGGAAACCGTGGTTAACGAGAAAGGAAATACGGTGCAACGAGTTGTACTGCATCACTCGGGAGCGTTTGCTTTCTTGGTTCCATGGGTCCACTCGCGTTGCATCTGGAGAATTCAACCATGCCTCTGGTTCCACGATGATAACGTCGTCGAAGTGGTCATGGCATACTCGAGCTGCGATGAGGCCGCCGATGCTGAAAATGCCAGTCAGGTAATGAATCATATGCTAAGAGCTTAGAGACATGATCACCTTCCCCCACAAATAACAGCCGTTCCTTTGATCTTCTCGCGGGGTAGCCTAAGTCCCAGAGGATCGACGTCTAGCACGCACGTCTGCTTTGACAGTTGCCTGCGTCGGAAAACACGCTCAAGGTAGAGAATGGCACTGCAAGTAACAACCGCAGTTCCGAGAGCCCACAGAAGATTCATGATCAATGAGTTCTATGCAGTATAGAGGAGCAAACTTTTAAGCAGATGAAAACGGGCCGTAACGGCCCCGTTGACTAAGTACTTCTTTGTTTGCAAGAGGGTGTGTTCATCGCCGGGAAGAGTATTGTCCAATATCGGCCCGGTTGACAAAATGAAGATTGGCTAGATAGAAAGCGTTCGACGACGTCATGCCACGCCGCTTGAAGTTTAAAATTTCGACTCCATGATGCTACGGGGGGCGTCACCTCGCGTAGGGCCACCATATATAATGTCATTTGTAGGATGACACGGACCCTCCTCGGGGAGATGCTTAGTGTATTGCTTTGGGGCTTTATATTTACGTTCGACCAGCATCCAGCCAGTTGTGAGGGAATGTTCGCTGAGAAAAGAAGATAGGAGCGATGTTAATAGAGGAATGAAGGCAAAATGAAGCAAGGAATTGACAGGACGAAGACCCTCAAACACATTTTGAGGATCGAACAGCGTATAATTATAATGGTTCAAGCTTAGAACGCTGAGTACTGAACATCGACGCTCCATAAGAGCATGGCCATTGAGTTTGAGTCTAATTAAACAACATTAACAGCTTCATATGTCGTAAAACATAGGGTAATAAATACAGGACTATCAACGCTCTGAAGTTCCCGAACTTGGCCAGTCGCGCAGGCAGCAGGGTTTGCTCATGCAAATAGCATTTTGTTGTGACTGCAACGTACAAAAAACCATGAAGTGCAGGTCTGCATGGGCTGAAGATAAGTAAAATTTGGGTGTGGAGCAAGTTATGAAACGTAGCAACTCAGCAAGGCTGGTGACGGAAAATGCCGAACTATCGATCCCCCCTGAATGAGGGGTTCCCTTCCTTGTTCATTAACCATCATCTCGTTCGATGCACGCCTTTTCATTTTCAGCAATGGTCTCGTTGCCAAGGTGCGAAAGAGGATTCTCTATAAAAACGGTAAACGATGCAGGACAGAGCGTCAACCACCCCGGAGTTGCCCTCTTCCTCGTAGGGGAATCCTACCACTATGGTCCAGGATATTCTTCGTGATTCGACCATTGGCCAAGGTATCAACTACATATCGAACGGCCGTATATTCCCCTACACTGAACAGCGCCTCACCTTTCGTGTTCCTCTGCATTTCCTACCGAAGCGACCCTCGCCCATATTGTCACTCGACTCTGACGCGATAACGTTATGCGGAGATGTGGAAAAGTCGACGCCTAAGGTGGAACTCACGAGGGAGTCGACTTTGGCCATGGATATAGGCGTGGAGAAGCATTCAGATCCTTATATCGTAGGATGGTACGGGGACGACGACAAAGAAAACCCAAGGTTTGACTTATTCTGTGCTCATCGTTCAGTCTGTTGACTGTGTATGATCTGCAGAAACTGGTCTCCAGCAAAACGCGCGTTCGTCGCATTCTGTATCAGTTTCTTGACTTTCAGCGTGTACATTGGCTCCGCCATCTACACGCCGTCTATCCCTGGATTGATGTCCGACTTTGACGTCTCCCAAACAGCAGCTACCCTCGGTCTCACGCTGTACGTTCTTGGTAAGTGGATCACCCTCCTCCAGTTAACATGAACCCATGTCCACATTAGCATACGGCATAGGACCCATGTTTCTCCCCCCTCTGCAAGAACTTCCCCACATAGGTCGAAACCCGGTCTACATGGCCACATTATTAGTCTTCATTATTTTCCAAATACCCATCGTCATGGCTAAAAACATGAGCACTGTCCTCGCGTTTCGCTTTCTCACTGGGTTCGCTAGCAGCTCTGCACTCGCCACTGGAGGCGCATCCATGGCAGATATCTACTCCGTGAATCATATTGGATACGTATTAGGTATCTGGTCGCTCGGGGTGGTTGCTGGTCGCATTGTTGGCCCGGTTATCGGAGGGTTTGCAGCTCAGGCGAACGGATGGCGATGGCCCCAGTATGAACTAATCTGGATAGTCAGCTTTTCCCTGATCTTCCTTCTTCTCTTTCTCCCCGAGACTTACGGACCTACAATTTTGTTGAAAAGGGCACGACGGCTGAGGAAGCTTACGGGAAATGAGCAACTGCGATCCCAGAGCGAGAAGAATTCAGAGGGCGAGTCGTTTGTGACGGTGATGAAGGAAGCCCTGATCCGTCCCTTTATTCTTGCTAAAGAGCCTGTCTTGATGTTTGCGAACCTCTACGTTGGCTTTGTTTGTCGGTTTTAATATCATTCTCCGCTGTCAAATGTATCATTGACAGTTATTCAACAGATGCGATATTTTACTTGTGGTTTGAGGCTTTTCCGCTAGTCTTTACGGATATCTACCACTTTCGTCTTGGTGCCAGCGGCCTGCCCTTTCTTGGCTTCATCGTCTCTGCCAGTCACTGTATGCACATTTCTACCTTGATCCCTACTCTTGCTAACTGGTGTTTCCAGTACACCATATATGTTATCTACCTAAAATATCACATCGCACCTCGATTAGCAAAAGCTCGCGCAGCAGGCGTGGACGTCTTGCCTGAGATTTATCTCGAGATTGGACTCATGGCCAGGTCTTCATCTCGACGAGTGTCCTCATCTTTGGGTTCACTTCAAAGGAGGGCATCCACTGGATCGTCCCCGTTATCGGCGCCGCCCTCTATCTTCCCGGCATCTATCTTATCTTCCAGAGTATCCTGACGTATATCACATCAACGTACCCCATCCATGCTGCGTCGGTTCTCGCTAGTAACGACCTCTTCCGTTCAACGATTGCCAGCGTCTTTCCGCTGTTTGGCCGTGCATTCTTTGTTGGTCTTGGTTTGGGCCCGGGATCAGCCCTCTTGGCTGGTATTTCTTTCTTGCTCATGCCGGTGTTTTGGGTATGTCGTATAACTCTACTCTACCTGTGTCGCTGATGTTCTTCACTTTAGTCGTTATGGAAATGGGGCCACGTCTTACGGAGACGATCAGTTTACGCCTGTGGTTCATGAGAAGGCCTTCGCTATTTAGATCAGTTTTATCTACTGTCTGGCTGCTCCGGTACGGAACAGCGTCTAATCTTGCAAAAGCTCATGTCATTTAGAGATAGAATGTGTTTGTGTGATAGTACTACTTGTATTTTTATATTCCTTTTTAATCTTTATTCTTCGAACTGGTATTTAACATAAAAGGTTCAATGCGGAAGGTTGATATCACTTGGACACGGATCGAAATGTCCAATGCGATAGTGGTACTTATGCTTCTATATTCTTAACCTCTATTCTTCGATATAGTATGTAGCATGAAAGGTTCAATGCGGAAAGTTGATATCGAAATGTCCAGGCTATGCTAGATGTGCTGGTTGCAAATGAAGACCTGACCATGAAGCAGGAGCACCGCGGCAGGTGTTGAAAAATATTTGTCAGCCTGTCACCCGACTGAGTTCCCCTCATTCTTTATGTCCTGAGAGCTTGCAGAAGCTCATGGTTTTCAGCCCCGATACCCAATGGCCATCACTAATTCTAATGTTAGAAGAAAAAGGAACTTTGTGGTACTCCATTCGTGGCAGGAAGGGTCCGAGCCCTTTTACAGAATATATATATCTTTAAACGCACGTAGGAATGCGGTGAGATGGCCGAGCGGTCTAAGGCGCCAGACTAGAGCAGATCTGGTTTTTAGGTGGTCGTCCTCTCTTTGGAATGAGCTCTCTCGTCGCAGCGTCTAGGCCAAATGTAATTCGCTCGTCAATTATGATACAGTTATTGTTCCTTAATCATGTGATGGATACGCTCGGAGAAACGCTGTGACATAAGTGACAACCTTTTCTGTTGCCAACACCTTGAGCGCCTGCTCGAGTGAAACTGCGCTCTCCGCCCTCTTCGCCGCTGCGTCCGACTTTTTCTCTCCACAAATGCACTCAACGAGATCAGCATAATCTCCACTGCGTCGTTGGTCCCTCGGATCCCAAACTCGATCCATGAATACGCCCGCACCAAACTACAACCACTGTCAGCAACAGAAGAAATGCAAAAAGCAATCGCTTACTCGGTCATACATCATCACCAGTGGGTCCCGCGTCTTCATCATATGTTGATGATGCCGCTTGAGCTGCTTGTACTTGTCGTCAACTCTCTTCTTTACTTCTGCCTTGTGCGCCCCCACCGCGTTCTCTAGTTGCTCGTAAAGCCGTGGATTCTCGTCCCGACATGCAGCCTCCAGATATTGCTTTTTCCATTGACGACTCCCTGCCCCTTGGTCATGCTTCTTCCAGATCTTGCTGAACTTTATAATCTCGACCAGCTGCATCACCGTCGCAACCCAGACCTTGCCGTAGCTATCCTTTTCCTGCGACACCAGCAACTTGCACATACATGTATCAGTCGTAGAATGAACATGTACACCCAATAACTCACCCGATGGATGGCAATAAGCTGGTTGCCCACATCCTCGATACCCTCACTGGTCATTCCACGCTCGCAAAACACATCCCAGTCCGCTCGCTCTTTAACAAGAGGCTGTAGCATCGCGGTCTAAACTCGGTAAGCCAGCGTATTTCTCAAAAAAAAAAAAAAAAAAGTCACTCACCCAAGCTACCTCTTCATCCTTCCAGCCTCGTATAATCCGTTGAAACGCCCGATCCTCAATTTCTGCATTGGTACCACTCCCAGGGTGCTCTAAAAGAGTCGTCTTGAACTTGCGCGCACTGAAAGGTGCCTCGTCAAATGCCTCGATGATCTGCGAACAGCGCTTATCCAGTCTCTTCTCATCCTCTGTCTCCTTCCCTTGACGACACTCCTTGCGACTCGGTTCCTCATCTTGTTCCGTTGGAGGACGACCTTGCTCAATTTTCTTTGCCAGAGCATCAATACTTTCATCAAGGTAGTTGCACAGGTCTCGTCGCTTTGCAATCGTCCGAGGCGTGGATTCAGGATCGAGTGCAGTGAGGGCACCAATTTCGTCATTCAGTTCCTCGATTTTGTTACGGATGCGCTGGTGGGGAGAGTCCATAATGCGAGTGTGACGAGAGTGTCACAGTCACTTACCCGTACTTGCCGCCAACTCTCATTGCGTCATGCCCGACGCGTTCAGCCCACGTATAAAAGCCCGACACGCGCTTTATGCCGCCTCCCTTTCTTCCCTACCACCACCATCACCCCTCCAATGCCTCTCCAGTCCAGACCCATCATCTCCCGTGACGATATTCTGAAGCAGCGCTCAACTGTCCCTGTCATCGCAGAAAAGCTCGCAGAGTCCCTAGACAAGGTCTTTGTAAAGATCCTCGCTGGAGCGACAGTAGACTTTATCAACCGCCTCAAGCGCTGGTGGGCTCACTTTGCCGAATCTCGTCCTGAAGGACAAGTGCCACGAGAGATTACTCGAGATGCCCAACTACCAGCCCTTCGTGCGTCTTTCAGCTCCTTGTATGCACGCATATATGCTGACATTTTCTCATAGCCATCTTCCTGGCGTTCGTGCAGCATCAGGCCCTTTGCACTAGGGGTCGTATCAGCGAGTATGCAGTCAAAGGCACTATCAAGACGCAGATGCATTCCCTTTTCTCGCTTTGGAGACGCGAAGCACTGCAGCCCCTTCCTAGACATTACACGCAACAGGTCCTCGCATACATAGACTCGCAAGAACTTCACGACATTGCACCGCTCTCGACAGAATCAAAACCGAAGCATACCCTGACAGCGGTAGACTTTGAAATTCTCGTCCGTGGCTTCTTTCAAGACCCTGGGTTCAGGACGACTCGTATGAGCCTCCAGATGGCTTACCTCATAAGCCTACAGTTCCTCATGACTGAACGTCCTGGCGCTCTTGTCGAAGGAAGCAAATACCGAAACACGGACCGCGCTATCCTTTGGAACGAGCACGAATGGCATGTTGTGCCCAATCCCGAGAATCCTCGCCATCCTCATGTCTATATCCGCGTCCAAATCCACCGGCTTAAAGGTCTGGGCAGCAACCAATCTGCATTCAAGGAATTCATTCTGTATCCCGAGCCGAACAGCAATCGAGCGTACTGTCCCTTCTCGATGGCTACTGCCATGGCACTTGAGGACGGTATCTTTGCACATGTCACCACTGCCGAAGAAATTTTCCACCCCGCTATACCTCCAACAGATCACCATATCCTCACTCACCGCCCTTCAGCTTCTACCCAGTGCGCCGTCCGTGGTGAAATTCTTGATGACAACAATTGGAAAACGTCTTTGACTCGCGCATTAACCTATGATGCTTATAATGGCCATCTCCGTCGGGTTAGTTTATATTTGGGTTTCATCCGCAAGTACCTTTATCTCTTATTTCACTCGTTTTTCTTATTCTTTATCAGTTGTGGTAACCGGCTATTGTGCTCGACGTGGCGCTTCAAACAGACTCTCCGGGCAACTAAGCGAGCAAGACCTCCGGACGCTAATGGGCCACACAAAAAGATCTGACATGTTTGACGTTGGTCTCTCTTTCTCTTGGTCACCATCGTCGACTCAACCTGCCTATAGACCTCGTACAAGTCCAAATTCATTGATAAAGATCTCGGTGCTATTCTTCACAACCGAACAGCCGATGAAAACATGCTGAAGATTGGTAGTGTATGTTCCCAAATCTCTCTCTCTCTGTGCGCGCGCGAAGATTGATTGTCTCCTAGACTGCATTAGACATGTCCGCTCGTAGGGATACCAACGCGCCTCGACAGCTCTCCGTCGAAGCCTGCGCCGAGCTATTCGCAGAAGAGGAGTTAGTGACGATGAGAAATACACGTGCACAGGTAGACTTTTTACCTTTTTTTTTCTCATTTCAAAATTTACTAAAGACGTGCAAGCTCGCAGAAGAACTGGCAACAATCTCAAAGACCGATCAAGTCACGTGGTGATTATATAATCTGGTCTTTCGAGGCGTGGGTTCGAATCCCACTCTCATCAAGCTTTTGCCTTTCGAACATCTTTTTCGTTATATTACAGTGTAATAGGGTAGTGCACGAAACCTCCAAGGGGGTAAATAACCGTTTGTTACCGACCTCTCCCCAGGGGGGTGGTTTTGCTACGGTAAGTTACCGTTACTTACCTCATCACGTGCACTATCACATGCCTGACGCGCCGCACTGCCCAAATTTTTCCAAAACCTTTGTTTTCGTGTTTTTATACATTTTCTTGATGTAAGGAAAGGTGGTTCATTCGTAAAGACCACTCATCTGTGAATAGACAACCTAAATTGAAATATACATGTAATAGTACCAGATTATTCTGCTCAACTACCTGTCACACTTGACAGGTAAGTTACCTCGACAAAAGCCCCTCCGGCGAGGGGGGTGTAAGTTACCAGTAAGTTACCGGTAACTTACTGGTAATAAACCCAAGTGTATCGAAACTTAGGTTTCGTGCGCTACCCTACAGTGTAATATGTATGTACACTGGCGAATGTACAGCCAGCTTCCTTTGAATATCACCCCGCGAACAGTGACAGGCTTACAAGATTTTAGCAGCCTTCTTCTGGTTCTTCAAGTTCCACCACACTTTATATTCAATGTTTTGTATGCTTAATGATGTTGGGAAATCTCGAAGCTGGACTTGTTACACAATATCTATGATTGAAATGCGACAGCACGGGAGCCCCTTGTATCCCCCTTTTTGTGCTGTCTATTCCTTTGGAGCACGTAAAAATAGCTGATGAGCTGTGGTATGGCACTAAATTTTCCTAACCGCTCGGCCATCTCGCTGCATCCTAGCCACATTCTGTGAAGACCCTCAGATGTCCTTTTTCTAATTCCTAAAGTCCAACTCTCCCCTCCCTTCTTCATCGTTGTTCTTGTTGAAAATGCAATGTACCTTACTGTGCCGTCGATGCCTCCATTGCACCTCACGGTTATTGGAGCCTGTGTCGCTATCGCTTGAACATTACTTAGATGCGACACCCAGGATGACATCGGCATCTTCGCCTTAGTACTTTGGCCCAGCCATATTGATATTCAAGGTCTGTGCGTGTCATCATCTAAGCTTTGACGACTCACGAGAAAACTTGACCTAAACTTTTGAACGTTTGTCTCCCGGGTTCGCAGACTTGAGCCGACCGGTTTGAATACCGGTAATAAGTATCAGCCTGAGTGTCCGAGACCGACTTGATAAAACCAGTGTATCGCTTCAAGTTGACTTTTCATTAGTGGTACTTGTTCGACCTTTGAGTAATCGGCTGAGAGGAAACACCTGCCCTGAGATGCGTTGTAATAGTTCTGTTTCAAGTCTTCCGACTCGCTTGGCAACAACTGACTTGATTCCGCTGCAACACAACCATCCGTTCAATGAAGTATAGTTGCATTAGTATAGATCATTACATTTTAGTGCTCGTAATATAGAAGCCATCTCGGCCCCATGTCTAGAGATACAAAGTAGTCTAACTAGTGATATAACTCCATCGTGCGACGACGCTCTATTTGGTATGTTCTAAATCGTGATATGCTCATGTCATTAGGCACGCTTTTGCTCTTGTCCGAGCAAGAAAAACAGCAGCGAAAGCTGACGAAAGTATCTGAAGTCGCGTGTCGGGTCTCTTTTATGGGCTAGCCGCATACACGGACCGTCTCCTCAAGACATGTCCCCATTTCCACAATGACTAGAACAAAGAGATTAGCTTGAAAAACGACAGAAACTTGGATAAGACATACCCAAAACACCGGCATCATGAGGAAAGAGACACCAGCGAGTAGGGCAGAGGCTGGACCCAGACCGAGGTTGACGAAGAATGCCCGTCCAAAAAGTGGAAAGACGCTAGCGATGGCGGAACGGAAGAGGTCGTTGCCAGCGAGAACCGATGCGGCGTAGGTAGGGTACGCTGACGTTATATACGTCAGGATACTCTGGAAGGTGAGGTAGATGCCGGGAAGGTAGAGGGCGGCGCCGATTATAGGAGCGATCCAGTGAATGCTCTCCTTCGAGGTGAACCCGAAAATGAGAACACTAGTCGGGATGAAGATGCTCGCAATCAATCCAATCTCCAGGCGGATCTCCGGTGCAATGTCGACGCCTGCAGCTTCAGCTTTGGCAAATCTAGGTGCGATGTGGTATTTCTGATAGAAAACGTATGCGGTGTACTAGACGGAAAAAGGTGTCAGCATCAGAAGTTGGTGAAAATAAAAATACTTACAGTGATGGCGCCGGATACAACGAATCCAAGGAATGGCAGGCCGCTGACGCCCAGATTGAAATGGTAGATATCGACGAATACAAGCGGGAAAGCTTCGAACCACAGGTAAAAGATAGCGTCTGATAGAAAAAATGTCGTCAATTAGGTATTCTACCCGGACAGCGTGGGAGTTACTCACAGACAAATCCAAGATAGACGTTTGCGAACATCAAAACTGGCTCCTTGGCAAGGATGAAGGGTCGGATCAACGCATCCTGCATCACTTCACCTAGGGATTCGCCCCCTTTATCCTTCTCGCTTTGGGATCTCAACTCCTGGTTCCCTGTGAGCTTCCTGAGCCGCTGCGCGCGCTTCAACAGGATCGTTGGCTCGTAGGTCTCGGGCAGAAGCAGAAGAAGGAAGATAAGCGCGAAACCGGCGATCCAGATGAGTTCGTACTGAGGCCACCTCCATCCGTTGGCCTGTGCTGCGAATCCTCCAATGACTGGACCAGTAATGGGACCAGCGACAGATCCGAGTGCCCAGATACCCAGCACGTATGGGAATTGATGCTTAGGGTAGATGTCCGCCATGGATGCACCTCCCGTAGCGAGCGCAGGGCTGCCGACAAACCCGGTGAGGAATCGGAACGCTAGAACCGTACTCATGTTTCTGGCGACGGCGACGGGTATCTGGAAGATGACGAATAGGAACAGTGTAGCCATGTACACCGGGTTACGACCTATCCCCGGAAGTTCTTGAAGGGGCGCTAAGAACATGGGGCCGATACCGTATGCTGATTAAGAATATTAAAACCGAGCGGACTGGAATTGGACGCAAAATAACTTACCAAGAATGTACAGCGTGAGACCAAGAGTGGCCATGGTTTGAGAGACATTGAAGTCAGCCATCAGACCAGGAATCGACGGCGTATAGATGGCTGAGCCGATATACACGCTGAAGGTCAAGAAGCTGATGCTAAATACGACAAAAGCGCGTTTCGCGGGAGACCAATTTCTGGAAATAAAAATCAGAAAATGAATTCGATCGTATCAGAAATGAAGCAAACCTTGGATTCTCCTGGTCATCGTCCCCATACCATCCTACTGTGTACGGGTCGGAGCTGAGAGCAATATCGATCTGTTTTTGCTTCTCCGTGTCGATACCCACAGCCAGAGTAGACTCCCTCGTGAGCTGTACTCCCGGTGTCGATGCACCTCTAGACTTTTCTAGATCACCGCATAGTGTTGTCGCGTCAGAATCTGGGGACACGATTGTCGACGGTCTTTGAGATGGAAGGAGGAAATGTGAAGGAACCTCAAAGTCGGGTCGTTGGTCAGCGTAGGGAAAGATACGGCCACTTGAAATGTAGTTGATGACTTGGCCAATGGTCGAGTCGCGGAGGATATCCTGGACCATAGCGATACAAGTCTAGAGGGGAAGGAAAGGAGAACCGGGGGTGATTGATGCCTTCCTCTCATTTTCAGTCGCTTTTATAGATGCCAGACAATCTTCGGGCCCTGGAAATGATTCAACCGTTGAAGGTGGATTCTTCATCAAACTCGCGAATGGTTGGTGAGCAAAAATCGGTGATCCCACTGTCGGCAAGTTGGCATTCGTCATCATGCTCGGCGTCTTCCGTGTGGATCGAAAATAGACCTCCTATCTACTCGCTGTCGCCAAGAGAACAGCACAATAAGCCAGGCAGAAATATCATTATGTGAGTTATTATCTGATGAGGAGGGAGATGATAACGCCAGCTGCAGAAAGTTCGAGAATGACAAACTAGCGCGGTCAGCAACTGAACGCTGAGCGAAGTCCTTATGTGATTGCGCTGAACGCTACAACTAGAAGAGCTTGGCAGTGGGATGCCGTGTCGGGCGGTATCAAGCAGAGCAAGATGGAGGTAGTAAGAGAAGGATGTGGATGGCCCCTGGGAATTTCGCCGACTATAGCACGTGTTCTCGAGGACGCGTCGTGATCGGAAACAGGTGGGTCAGATCTGACGTTCAAATATTATGCTTTACACTGCGATAACAAGGTTGGGTGTCTTTCTCTTTCTGGTTTTCAATCTGAACTATAATTTAGGTGGTAATTTGAAGGTCGCTGACCCAGGCTGAAAACTGGAACCTTTGGGGAAACACGTGGCAAAAACATCCACTCGTATCACTGCGATGGCAAAACGGCTATGGGCGCCGGGCGGAGACCAGTCAGCGGCGAGGGCGCGGGGCGCACCGCTTATATGATAGAACATGTGGGCGGAATCCACCGTCACAGTACAGCCACAGGTCGTCCACGAACCCCCATGACAAAGCCGTGAACTATCCAAAGGCGGCTATTTCCTAGTGTACCTATTATCGATCCGGTCCTTAACCAAATCTTGGTCGACGCAAAACCCTTCCTTGAATCGATCAGGTTACAAGTTACCGCCCAGGTTCGATCCCGATTGGGAACCAACAAATGTAATTGAAGAACGACAAGCTGTACCCTCGATTGCCGGTACGCCTCCATGCCATCTATACATTATCTCGTTCACCCCCCCCCCCCCCTTCAGCGACATTTTCTTGTATCTGCCGTGCGCCTGAGTGATGACAAACCTGTCATTCGGAAAGAGAGTCGAAATAGGATCACCAGAATTCGAAATATCAGTCTTATTCTCGTCACCACCTCTCTCGCTTGACCCACGAAACCATTGCATTCCTGTTGTTGAAGTCTTGGAATATGGAAACCATGTAATCCTTGTGCTCCCAATATTACGACACTTTGAGGATCCTCCATTTGATATGGTGGGAGAAGTAGTTGAATGTTTCAGACAAATATTTGAGGTGCATAGCAGTTTATTTTCCTGCTCTTTTTTCATATTAATCGATGGGATACTAGGGAATTCAGT